AACTGCTTTCAACTCTTCCATCGCTTCTTTGGGAATTTAAATCTTTATTTCTAAGTAAAATGCACATATTGAAATGTATTGATTTATACATTTTTTTACTTTATTTTTTAATTCTTATGATGGGAGGTAAGAATTTCAGCCCATTTTTATTAGCCCTTTACCCCTATTTAATTCTTCCAATAAAATTATATCTCAACTTTTGGGTAAATCTATATTCAAGGGTTTTTTTGTTGTGACTGTGTAAATATTGCTCACAGTATTACTGAACCAAGAAATATTGTAGTTTTGAGCCAAGAAACACTAATTTTATATCATTTCTTAAAACCTTTTTGTTTTCCTAGATCTGCTTCTGTTTTTAAAAACATCCCACACCCTGTAATAGATCTGGGTTGGTAATGTGCCCTTCCATATAATTTTCTCCAAGGTCCAAACCTATTCAATGGATTTTTCATCTCACTTTTGTTTTTATGTTTCTGTAGATACCCTTTCAGGTTATATTCTGCATGGGCTGCTTTCTGCGTCTTCCGTGTAGCTGCTTTCCTGGGTCTTCCCTCACCATCGTTCTGAGAATTCTCTCCTCTGTTGGAACCTTTGATTTCTGGAACTGGTATCTTCCTTTTTTTGGTGTTCTGCCTCATTTTTAAGTGCATCTAGGAGTGCATCCAATAGTTTCCTGGAAATGGTGAGTGAGACATTTTTTGAGGATCTGTGAATCTGAAAATGTCTTCATTTTACCATCACAGTTGACTGATAGTTTGAATATAAAATTCTAGGATTAAAAATCTTTTCCTTTAGGATTTTGAAGTCATTATCCCTCCATTCTTCCAGCTTTAGATGTTGCTATTGAGAATTCTGGTACTATTCGTATGCCTTTTGCTCTGCTTATATATTTGTTTTATTATTCATTTCCTCTTTGGAAGCTTGTAGAATCTACTCATTTTTGATGTTTTGAAGTTTTACAGTGATATACTTTGGTGTGGGTCTTATTGTATTCATTGTACTGGGTTCTTAGCCTTTCAGAGACTTAATTAAGCCTTATAGATTTGGGACATTATCTTACAGAAATGTTTGATACTTTCTTCCCATAAAAGCCTTCTGGATTTCTTCCTCAGCTTTTCTTATTTTTCTCTTATTGTCTATTGTTATTGGAATATTCACATTCTATGAGCTCTTTCTTGTGCCGTGTTTTTTCCTTTGTAAGAATATCCTATTCTTGTTTCATGCAAGTAAATCTTCTCTTTCAAGGGGTATTAATTAGAGTTTTTCTGAAGTTTTCTTTGGTTCTCCATTATATTTTCAGTTCATTTATTTTTTGTTTGTTCTAAACCTGGTTGCCTGTGTTCTAGAGTTGGATGGAGGAAGGGACCTGGGGCAGGATGCTGATACGTAGTGAGTTCCCTGTTTTTACCGATCACATCACACCTGCCTTCCTCTGTGTCTGGGGTCCCCAAATACAGAGCCTCTATGGTATTATTTTTTTAAGAGAAAAATTTCAAGTCTTCTATGGAGTGGGAGTGGGGACATGGGAATCTGATTTTTTATACACATTTAGAATCGATTCCCTGTTTTCAGTTTTGCCTCACCTTCCAAGATACTTAATAGTCTAACTTCTGAGGCTTTTAGGTTCTGTGTGGCTTGCTTCTCATGCTGTGCACCTTGTAGGTGAGCATTTCCCCTCTTGCTGAGTCAGTCAGGATTTCTCCATCTGAGTTCTGTCTTCATATACTGTCATTTAGGGATTATAAATGTCTTCTAATTTTGTCAGAGATCAAGGTTGTATTTCCTTATCTTTTCTTTGTTTGGGTGGAATTTTTGAGAGAAGAACACGGAAAAAAACCAACATATTTACTACATCATCCTGAAATAGAAAAATCCTATTTGTTCCTAAATGGATGCTATCAGTTTTTCTCTTTGTTGTGAATTTAATAATTCCCACATTTATCTTAAGCAAAGTTTAGTCTGTTAGATGCATTGGTGGGGTTTTTTAAGATAAAGAAAAGATACAATAACTTAATTTCCTTGGGAAAATTACATTCTTAATTTATTTGGCAGTGTCGTATGAGTAAGCATTCCATGTTACGGTGTTTTCAAGACTTAACTTACACTTTAAGGAATCTAGCCTTTTATTTCAATGACTTCTGATTGAAATTTCTCTAAAATTTATGAACCGTTTCTTGCATTATTAAACAAGAAGGGATAAATGTGCCCTTTCTTGGTTTCTCAGGCATCATATTAATATATATTGCACCAGGGTGTAATTTGGTGACATTTCTGGGGCTGCTACCTCCTCTTTCACTGAGTTCTCCCAGGCACTTGCTTTATAAATCCAGAATTGATTTTGCAGAGGTGGCTGTCATTTCCCAGTGAGTCAGTTTCAAGAAGGGCTGGCCCCCTGACACCCTACTACATTTAACTGACTGTGTTCAGGAAGAACTGAGATTGGCAGCATAAGCAAAATATCCTGGCTGGCAAAACCAGGGACCTAAAATTTAGTGCTGAATCCCAGTTAGCAGACTTTGAAGGGCATGAGGATAGTTCCTCCAAGCTTCCATGATTCTATAGGAGTGAATATCCTGGGCTCTGTGGAAGCTCTGTTCTTGGCTTGCTGAGCTCACGGCCCGGTATCCTCAGCCTTGGCATGATGGACATTTTAGATGCGGCCATTCTTTCTGGGGCCTTTCATGAGCATCATAGGATGGGGAGCGGCATCCTGGCCTCTAGCTTGCCAATAGCATGCACCTCCCCAAGTTGTAACAGCCAAAAATGACTGCAGACATTGCCAAACACACCATGGGGGATGGGCAACATGAACTCTTGTTAGAACTTTAGACTATGGGTCTCCTCTCTTTTCAGATTTTATAACACTATTCTGGATATTTAAAGTTGTAGGAAATGTGACAACAGTTAACTGGAATAGTATTGTAATTCCCTAGAGTTTTGTAAAATGTGAAATAATTTGGAAAACACCCACATTTCAATGACCTGCCCAATAGTCATTGTTCGAAATACACTGAAAACTAACATTTATTGAGCACTTATTTTTTTGAGCTCACACTATGTACCAGGCCCTAATGTAGCACAGTTAACACCCTAAGGGAGAAATGATCATTGTCTTCACTTTAACATATGGGGAAATCAAGGCACAAAACATTTAGGCAAATAGCCTGAGCTGATACATCATGAAAGTGGCAGAGCCAGGATTCACATCCAGGAAGAAGGACTTCAGAGCACAAGCTCTTAACCACCACACTGCGCAATGGCTGATCTTAAGATACCAAGTCCCAAACACAAGCCCCGTTTATAGACTTAAGGCTGTCTACCCAGTCTAAGCCCCAAGAGGGCAGGGCTAAACAGTTGCCACCTTTACAGTTGCCTGGGCCAGGACTTGGCATGTAGTACAGGCATGGTGAAGGTCCATTTTAATAAATGAGGGAAGCTATTCTAAACACCAGTTGCAACAAAAACTAAGCGTATGTTATGGTTTCTTGGAAGAAGATGAATTGTGACAGGGTAGGTCAGTTACATGTTGTAGGTTTCTGTCATTGGAAGAATAACTGCCTTCAATGAAGAAAGGAGTGATTGTGTAATTATAGCCTTCAGGCTGGGATAGTGATTGCCTCGTTGACTGGCAGTGTTGGGCAATGAGAGGTTTTGCTTGATAGAGTCACTACCACTTTAACAAAATTCACTGAGCACAGTGAAGGACTGGTAACATACACTTGAGAAACTCAGCTTTTCTTTGACGGTTCTAGAAGGCGGAGCCTTGCAGCACCTCTAGGTCCTTATTGCAGACCTAGATGTGTGCCACTAGACCCTGGAGTTCTGGAGCATGTTGACTAAAAGCTTTCATATTCACCTTCATTTCAGATAGTAGTGCTTTTGGAAGACCATGGTATGTTAGTATTCTGACTTTTGCCCTCAAACCTCTTTCAAGATTGGTTCAGGAGTGTACTGGGATGCACTTGTTTTGCTTCGGTCCTGATACGTGGCTTACGTTAGTTCATGTAGTGATGGGTAGAATTCTGCTGATGGGACCCTTGCCACGTTGCTGCTCTGCTGATGCTGGACTCTGAATTTCACATCACCATTACCCATTAAAGGTAAGGCTGTCCCAGGGTTTGAGCTGGAAAGTGGTCACAGGTAGGGAGCATGGGCTGACCTATCATTTTTATCTTTTGAATATCCTTCAGACATTTTTCTCATCTGATTACGTACTTGTGAAATAGCCATGGAAAAATGGGATTAGTACAGAAAGGTTTTTAATAAATTAGGAAGTTTCAGTTGGTCCAAATATCCTTTTTTTTTTTTTTTTAAGGTCAGTGAATTCTCTTTTCAACTGGTGATAATAAAGGGCAAATTCCAGACCAGAAGCTTCACCTACCTTGTAAATTCAGATAAAAGAATGGTAGCAAGAGTAGCTGATACTCAAGACATCAAGTGACTGAAATGCTAAAAAGTAAATATTCACTAGATAAACTTACCCTTCAACACCCAGCTCAAATATCACCTCCACCATGGGGCTTTTTGCCCTGTTCCCCCACAGACCAAGGTAGCTCTGCTATCCTTAAGTGCTCCCAGAGAAGTTTGTTCCTATTCCTGAAGTAACACATGCCCCATTGTGTTCTAATTCATTTATGTGCACGCCTTTCTTCCTGCCTGGATGGTGAGGTTCTGGAGGGAACAACTCACCTTTGTGTATCCAGCACCTGGCATGTGTAGGCTGGTATGTAGGAGACAGTCTGTGTCTTTGGATGAATGAGTAATAGGAGAACTCATTTAATTTCATCTTTCATGCTGGGCAAGAAGATTCAAGATATTCAAATATTTTCAGCTTGTTAGTAATAAGCAATTCCCTTTTATGATTTAGAATAAGGAGATGAGGGCACAGTGATTTTTTTATCTCCTTCCTCATTATCTTCTACTCCCCCTCTCTTCTTCTCAGGCTCATAAAAAAAATTGGATTCTAAGTCTTTCTGAAGAACATCTCTCTTTCTTTCCAGGCAGGTATTAATGAAAATGATTTTTATGATGGGGCGTGGTGTGCAGGAAGGAATGACCTCCATCAGTGGATTGAAGTGGATGCCAGACGCCTGACCAAATTCACTGGTGTCATCACTCAAGGAAGGAACTCGCTCTGGCTGTAAGTGGGGCTGGACCTGTGCTTTTCTAGACTTCATGCCTTGGGTCTAGTATTCTAGGGTTTGGACAGAGACAGGGAGGTTGCAGAGAGGTCTCTGGTGATAGGCAATAGAAGGGAAGATAATTGGAATGTGCATCTCTTGGAAGGACACCCTCCCCCAGGACAGGAACAGAGAGAGAGGTCCACCTGGCAGGTGAGGCTGAGCAGATCAAGGTGCAGTCAGGACAGTACAGCTTTGGCAGGCGACTCCGTCTTGGTGAGTGACTGGTGCCCTGACTCGTGGACTGATCACAGGCTGAGCAGGAACTCTGGACCAACAGTGGGCAACAGGTAACAGGTCCAAGCCTCAGTAGAAGTTATGACTCCTCCAGACTCTGGGAAGAAGATGGGAAGCCTCAGCAGGTTCCCAAATAAAGAACTGCTGGATGAGTCGTAGAAATGAAGGGTGAGCTGGGGTGACGCCTGAGAAAGAGATAGAAGCCATTTCTCAGAAGCCAGGTTAGGGTCAGGGCTGGACTGTAACAAGATGACCTGGTATAATCCCAGGAGAGGTGGGCTGCAGCCCCTTAAAACTGTCCAACTGGTGGTACATACATGCAATGAAATATTATTCAGCCTTAAGAAGGAGGGAAATTCTGACCCAGGCTACAGCCTGGGTGAACCTTGAGGACCTTATGCTGCATGCAGTAAGCCAGGCACTAAAGGACAAACCCTGTATGATTCCACCTACGTGAGGTCCCTGGAATGGTGAGATCCATAGAGTGAGACTGGTGCCTGCCGAGGGCTAGGGGAGGGGTGATGGGGAGCTATTGCTTAATGGGCACGGAGTTTCAGTTTGGGGCGATGAAAAGTTCTGGAGAAGGATACCGACGGAGGTTACACAGCAGCACGAATGTACTTAGTGCAGCTGAACGGTACACTTAAAAATGCTTAAGATGATACATTTGATGTTACATATATTTTACCACAATAAGTGAAGAAATGTATGAGCAAAAAATCCACCAAACGTCTCCCCCTTCATCCAGGGCTGGTTGTGGAGACAGAGGCAGGGCTACCCTGTGGGACTGCCCTGTGAGTCCAACCGTGAGAGCAGGAAGCCTACAGACCCTGGGGGCTAGTCAAGGCCCAGGAGGGTCCTCAGGACCTGGGGTGCTCTCTGAATGTAAATGAGGAATTTTCAAATTCTTCTAATAACTGTCCAAGCTGAGAAACCAAGGGTACAAAGGCCCCTACACCGTGACATTAGGTAACTGATTGTGGCCTTGTCAGCTGAGAGCCCTCCTGCCCTGTCCCCCCTCCCCATGCGTACTCTCAGATTCCATGTCTTGACACCTTCCAGTATTTACTAATTACTTTTGGCAATTATATAAAATCTGTTTGTGATTTGCTGATTAGATTAATTTTCAATTCCCAGAAAGGTCAACCTTAATAAATAAAGCAGGAGAACAGAAGGGAACCTAGCATCTGTGCTCATGCTTAACTGCCTGTCATTGTCACTGGAAAGAGGACTTTCTCACACAGTGACAGCTGTCATGCAATGACTCATCTATTTTCCTCCAAACTTTTTTTTTTGGGTTAAGACAATATTATACCATCTAGCTATGCTTTAAAACATTGCCCATGTTCCACTGTCCTTAGCAAACGTAATCTTTTACATATCTGTAATCACATTATATATGCAATTATGTTTTTGACTTAAAAACATATCCATAACATTTTTCATGCTGTTACTCAGACTTCATAATGATTGTTTTTAATAGCCTGTAATTTACTCAGACATGCCTCTATTACTGCCTCAATTTTCTATTATCACATAGCATTTTGTAAGAAAGCATTTTCATACTTATTTCTTCCTTTGAATTATTTCCTTCAAATAAATTTCCAGAGCTGGGATAATTCGTGCATTTTGACAACATTCACTCTGTGTTTGTGCTGTTTTGTGGATCACATTTTATTCAGTCGCTTTTCAATAGCATTTCTGTACTGCTCCTCTAGGCCGAGTTTTGCTCTGGGGTATGCATTTTCCTCTAATCAGAGGCTTATTACCATTACAATTGTTATCACTGTTTAGGATCTGAAAGACAAGAATTTGGGGGTGTGGGAAGTTGAATTGCTCAAGAAAAATGGGAACTTGGATAGGCTGATGTGAGATTGTCCATAGGGATGAGAGCAAGAATTCTACCTTAAAGCTTGGATACTAACCGGCCTAACCACTATCATTAGAGGCCCAGTAGTTGAGTTACTGTTGGATCAGAAAGACAGAGCAGGGTAGGGATAATTCTCACATTCCATTTCAGCTGGAAACACAAGAGGGTTTGGGTGAACAAGGAATTGCAGTGAACAGTATCTTCCTTTGGCTCAGCCCAGGACAAGAACATCTGAGAGAACACCAGGAACAGAATTGCTTTTAAGAGGCAGGTTTTGTTTATTTTGTTTCTGTTTTATTTTTTAGTGTCTAAATGTATTTCAAGTAAAATTATTCTTCAAGGACAATGAAAAGTAATCTGATGGGTTTCAGTTTGTCTTACCTCCTAGAATAGGACTTTCTGCACTCAGGACTGAAGAGGTGGGACAAGGACACATTTTGGTATCTGAGCCCTTCTTCCTGGAGGCGTGAATAATGCCGGAAGCACTGGGATCTATTTCAGTATGACCACAAAGCATACCAGTGATAGACCTCATCCAATACTAATAGTAAGGAAGACACCGGCTGTTCCTCTTTCCCTCTGCCCAGGACCTCGGTGCCCACGCTGCACCCAGCATCATTTTTAATATCCCTTTTTATCGGTTTCTGTATTTCTCCCCATCAGTCTGTGAGGGCCTTGATGATGGAGGCAATGCTTCGACAGTCTGTGTCCCTGGGACCTTGTCCCAAGCCAGGCATCTACTAGGTGCTCAATCAATGATTCTTTAATGAGTGAATATTGTCAGGAAGTAAGAAATTGACTAAGGTTCATTCACATCAAATGGTAATGAGTTCATCAATGTGAGCATAAATGACCGAGTGGGAGTTTTAAATATAAGTGGGGAGAGAGGAGAAGCTGTGGAAGGGGAGGCTGAGAAGGATTTCCAGAGGACAGCGTGTAAACAGTGTGGCTTTAGAATCCCGTGTGGCTCTCGGCTCTTGTGGGTTATGAGATTTCCCTTCTCTGAACCTCAGTTTGCACTTCTCTGAATCAACATAACTACTGTCTGTGTCGTAAAGATGTGATTAAAGGTAAGTGAAATTGTTATAACACTTTAAAATTACCTAGAACATAATAAGTGCTCAGTAAATGGACTTTCTTCTCTCTGCACCTCAGGGTTTATTTAGAATAGTGGTTTTCAAGCTTTGTTTTTATCACAGGTCCTTCCTTTGGTAAACTGGAAACATTTGGAAAACACAGACAGGTGAGACTGCTCTGAGTGAATGGTGGCAGGGGAAGGGACCGGGAGGGGGCGGGTGGGATTGTGGGGACGTTGCCCCCTGGCCCTTTCTCCTGTCACAGGAGCACCGCTGGAGGGCGCCTTCATGCAGTGTCTCTGTAGGAAGCACCCTAAACAGCTTGAGGTCTGTGTGCAGGTTACAGTCCTGCCAACTCTCCAACGGCCGAGTGCTGCGTCCGGGTCACACGCAGACTGGAATTCAGACCAAGATGAGCAATGGCACCGTGGGGATTAGAGTTTGATTTTTTCTGGTTAAATGTGCAGAACAAGGCCTCATCTTAGAGCGTCACACTGTGGTTGGTTAATGTGTTAGAAGCGGAAAGGAAACGGGTTGCCTGCCAGCCCTTTGGGGTCGGCCAAATGGATGTTACTGTGTATAAATGGCTTTTATCTGGTTGTTGGGGTGCAGAAGCCCTTTGGAGTTCACAATGTATATATTTAAGAATACCATCAATACTTTTCAGTTAGCGGATGTCTATAGTTGGTATTTTTAAATGAACATCCATCACCGTATGTGTTCCTGACACTCTCTTCAGGTGTCTATGGACTCCTTCATGTGCTACTGAGTAATCTGTACTAAGTACTAGGGATGCAAAGGTGAGCAAGGAGTGGCCTGCCTGCACGGGGCTTTGAGTCTGGTCAAAGAATCCAGTATGTTAACAGGTCCACTAAATAGCAAAGTCCTCACTGCCGTGTGATGGGGAGAGAGAGCGCTGTTCACACCTATGCTATAGGGGTGGAGGATGAGAGCAGTTTCGGGAGGTCTGACTAGTTCATAGCCAAGTTGATGGAAAACTCTATGATTCTAGTTTTGAAAATTTTTCAAATAATTCATGCTATTTGAACATAATAAAATATAATTGTTTTTATTATATTGAATAATTTATACTTTTCACCAATATAAATTATCCTTCCCCATTGCACTGCAGTTTAGTGAAACGTTAGTATGCTAATAAAAGCCAATCTTTTATTCCCTAATTTCAGAAAGTATATTAGATATATGAGGGTTACAATTGCAACCAATGTGATGATTGAAAAATTAATTATTCTGCTGGAGGTGACTAGATCTGCTAATGACTTGGGCGAAATACAGGCAATTTAAAATAAAAACGTTTTAAATTTTAATGGTTTAATAAACAAAATGATTCTCATTCTCTCAAGAGTCTATAAATGTGTCCTTAAAGTGGGGCAGCGGTTTGATTGATGGATCTGCAAGGACTGGGGAGGGTTCAGCTAGTTGGCTTGGTTTTTAAAAAGCAGGCAGGCTGACTAGAGCAAGGTGAGTGGGAGCTCGCCTGCGAGCCAGATTTGTGGCCGGGAACACGAAGGTGGTGGAAAAACTCAGCCCAGCCTGAGGAAGCTGGCTTTCTGTCTGTCAGAGGAAAGCCTCAGCAGAGATACTGATACTGAACGTGGGCTTCCCCTTGGCAAATTGTGATGGTGAAGGGCAGGAGAGACTGAGGCACCCGACCCAGGAGGAAGGCAATGCCAAGGGAAGGCCTGTTTCCCTTTGTCTTGCAGACAGCTGTGTTCACAGGAGGGGACAGGGGCTGATGGGGCAGGTCCACGAGGGG